CAAGCAGCCGACCGCCACGCCGACCTACCAGATGTCCAGTAACCGATCTACCCGCTTCAGCAGCTGCAATCGATGCAGACAGAAGCCAAACCAGACCCAGGCGCTCCAATGCCGCAATTGGTGGGGCCCCCTGGCATAGCTCGCAGAGCCGCAGACACAGCTTCAAAACACGGCTCCTCCCCCTGGCCGCCGTGGGAAGTTGAATGCAAACAGTGCCGCAAGGACCAGCGGCGCGACCTGGCCACGGCAATTCAGGACGCTCCCTTCCGGATTGCCCACAACCGAGGGGCTGGCGCCTCTCGGTGGGGCCGGCCTTGCAGCGACCCGTCAGTGCGCCCGCCATCTTTTCGCTAGGCAGAGTTTTGTTCAACTTTGTTTTTTGACAGACAGCATGCGTTACCAACTGTTACGCTCCGAATCCTCGACTCTGCAATTTTTTTTTACCAAGAAGCATGCACTCACCGACAGGATCGGCAGCGTCACAGCTGGTGGTACCATATCCAGTTCCACCTTTCGACGGCAGCAGCAAAAGGGCTCCTGCGGGTCTCAGCGCACGGCGACGACGTCAGGAACAGCTATGCTACGCAGGGCCCCCCCGAATGGCATCCTCACCCACGAGCTATGCCAGATCTTTCGACAAGTCAGCAGCCATGCGGCCTCGCATGCGTCGGCAACTGCAGCAGAAACTACCAGTGGGTTCCTGCGAGGCATTCCCACCCACGCGCTATGCTACTTCACCCGATGTGCATGCTGAGTTAAGGCCTCCACCAGTTCCCAACCTCCCCTACCTCTTGGCCTTCTAGTCACAGCCCCGCCCCCTGTTTCAATTCTTTATTTTCGTTGCGCCCCCCTTCTTGTGGCGGCGGGGTGGGGTGGGGCCGCGTATTGGACGGGGCGAGCAGTGGGGCGCCCCGCAGGCCCGCGCGGTGAGGGCCTGTGAGGCCGGGGTCAGGCAGCGATTTGCGCGCACCAGCAGTCAACCCTCTTCCCACCTCCACTCCACTACCTCCTCTTTCAGCAGTGGCAGCTGCGACCTTGGTCGCCTGGTACTACCGGAGGATGCCGGGATATCATTTCGGCATTTGGGAATCCAGCTTGCAGTGCGCCACCGCCAAGGATGGCCTAACCCCCCCCCGAGCGCGGTGGCACCCCCCCCGAGCGGCCATTACTCCTGCGATCTGGGTACCCTGCTCCTGCGTGCCAGGAGAGGGTGCCAGTCATGGGGGTGGTGGGCGCTTCGGGGGTTTCCTCTGCGCAGTGGGAGAGGCCCTAATTACTGACATTCATTGGGCGAGGGTGGGAGGTCCAGCCACCGCATGGAAGGCACAAGCTTCCTTCGCATTCAGTGGAACCCCTACCAGGCGGCCCCAAGGTAAATGTGCTGGGAACCTTACCCCTGGACTCAGAGGGATCCCGCATTTGACCCTAGGGGCGCCTGGGTGGGGTTCCTATGAGCAAAGAGGGGCACGGGCGACCGTGGACAGGCACTTCCACCGCCGCAGCGCCAACAAGCAGCGTAATACACGTCAGCCTCGCCACCTCCACCCTATGGTTTAAAGGAAAAACTGCGCCAGTG